GCTTTACAAAGAAAAACCGCGAATTGATGCACTTTGCTCAGAGAACGTAAAGTATAGAGAAGGACCGAAAACTGTGAATGCCACATTTTTCGAGCCAACAAAACTGGCGAAGCGCATTTTAAGAGCGACAAATATTTGGAACACTTAACAGCGAAAGCAAAATACAAAGCAGAAAAGAAGAATGTTAACAGAGCTAAATCTTACGAGAGCATTTGGAATGTTAATTAAATATGAATATAGATGATTTTTGAGATATTTTGGGAAAATTTGCAAATAGAAAACCCAAGTAAAAGAAATTAATTTTTTTTTCAATGACTTGTACAAGTAACATGAAATTAAATCGAAAATAGTATATAACATTCCCGATTTTTGTGATATTTTAATAATAATTGCAAATAGAAAAGTCTCATGTGTTTTTGTTTTTTGTGTGAAAATATTTTTTTGATAAAAAAAATCCTTTTCCCCGGTGATTTCCACAAATACCGTGAAAATAAATCGAAGATGTTATATAGCATTTTTCGATTTTTGTAATATTTTGTTAGATTTTCAATTATAAAACTTTATTGGTGTTAGATTTTTTTTGTAAATAGATTTCTAGAGGAAAAAAATAATTTCTTTTCGGTGATTTGTACAAATAACGTTAAAATAAATCGAAAATATTATATAACATTTTCCAGTTTTTGTGTTATTTCCAAGTAAAAAACTGTATTATTTTCCTTTTTTTAGAGATCTCACAAAACTAAGTCGAAAGTCTGTATGAATATTTTCCATATTTTCGATATTTATGGAAATAATTCAGTTTTTAATTGTTTTCGACTTGGAAAATTTTTAAAAGATACGAAAACCTCCGATTTTCCCAGCAATTAGTAAAAATCTCGCTAATCTAAGCCGAAAGTATTTAAGAAATTTTTCAATATTTTCAATATTTATGGAAATAATGCAGTTTTCATATCTTTTCTAGTGCAAGAAGTTGCCATTGGATGGGTGGCAGCTTCGCTACTTGTGTACATATTTGTCGCCCACATTGTCATTTACATATCTAATTAATTAATAAACCAAAATTTATAAAGCAAATATTTGTAAACTGCAATTCATTGATATTACCTATTTCTGCTACCAAATTTTTCATGTATCTAAAACAGTGCCCGCCAAAAAGAGAAGTCCTAAAATGAGAATGTATTAGTTATGAAACAAAAAAATGAGAATGTGTTGGTGGTAATGCACGGAAAAATATTTCTGTGTTGTATTACTTACTAGCAGACCCGGCGAACTTCGTCCCGCCAAAAATTTTTATATATTTTATTGAAACTTTTTGGTCCAACATTTTCATCAATAATTCACGTTTACGATTTTCATTGGCACATTCGTCTGCTAAGATTGGTCATTTGCCGCTTTAAATAACCTAAGGAAAGTGTTATATCCGTGAAGAAGTTCTTGAAATTCTCCAGTTGTGCGGCATTTCATAGCACGGTTATTCGCAAAGCGAAATAAATTTTTTCCTCTTCACTCCCTGGCGGCAACAATGACCCGGTTCTATAGTGAATATCCTAGAAGCTTTACAGTATAGTTGGTGGCAATTTCAAAATGGGTGCGAATCATTGTTCTACTGAAATGCAATAAACATATACTTATTTCATACGAAATACCTTAAAAGTTTGAACGCATAATAATATTGGAAAACCACATCCATTGGGCCAATCGCAACGCAAGAGCGTTCGATATACTCAATGGTGCAACAGGTCGATTTAATCTGACCTTCACGCACCACTTGACAGCACGTTTTTGCAATAGTATTGCATACATATTTAAAACATTAGCCAAATGGGATCATAAATAAGATTTTTAGTAATAACTCAACTACAGCGCCAGCTTTCGGATTAAATTGTGAAACTAAACCATCCAGAGACCCACTCAGACACACACAAAAGTTTCGTTAAAATCCGTACAACCATTTAGGAGGATTTCACTTACAAACACACCTATAGAAGAATTATAAATACATTCAAAGATATCTAAAGGTCGGCACGTTTGTAGACCTCACACCCCCTTTTAAAATAGCCCAAATTTTCTCCATGAGTATGGGCTTGATTTCAACTACATTCATATCTCCATACGAAATTCCAGTACTGTACCATGAATACCTTCAGAGATATGCAGTATAAAAATTCGATTTATATGGGAGGTGCCACGCCCCCTTTCCAACAGCTATCCTTTTTCTTCATGAGTGTGCGATTGATTTCGTATATCACCACACCAAGTTCCAGAACTCTACCATGAACACTTCCAAAGATATGCAGTATGAAAAATTCGGTTTGTATGGAAGATGCCACGCCCCCTTTTCCAATAGTTCAAATTTTTCCTCAAGAGTTGGTATCTCCGTACCAAGTTCCAGAACTATACCATGAACACTTCCAGAGATATGCAGTATGAAAAATTCGGTTTGTATGAGAGATGCCACACCCCTTTTTACAATAGCTAAAATTTTTCTCCAAGGGTATGCGATTGATTTCGTATATCTCCATACCTAGTTCCAGAACTCTACCATGTACACTTTCAGAGATATGTAGCATGAGAAATTCGTTTTGTATGGGAGGTGCCACGCCCCCTTTACATATAGACTAAAACTATCCTTGGGACACGTGCGGCAGGTGGCAGATTCAAAAAACTCGGTTCAGCCGCTCTCGAGCCTTGCGAAAACTAAAAAACGGCTTTCAAAATATATATTAGTTGAGATACATATATTATATAATAATAATAATATTATATATTATAATTATATTTTGACAGTATCCGTTGTTTATGATTGGCGCAAAAAAATCTTGCCTAGTGACGAATTCGCCCCTTGATATGGCGGTTGCTCAAAGCTATTTATATTCGAAATTGCATCAAAATTAGAAAAGAGGATTCTATAAGCTTATCCAGGCTAAAAGCTACCTACGTACCGAATTTTAAGCAAATCGGACCGTAAATACGATTTTTTCGAATAGATCGGTACCTGGTCCACTTTTCGGACAAAAATGGATCATATATGCTAAAAAGCTACTTACGTACCAAATTTTAAGCGAATCGGACCGTAATAAGATTTTTTCGAATAGGTCGGTCTCTGCTCCACCTACCCGAAAAAAGTAAATTTTTTATCCTAAAACATGGTGGTTACTGAAAGCTAGTTATATACAAAATTTCATGAAAATCGGACCAGCCGTTCGCGAGATTACCTGTTACAAAAAAAGGGACTTATCTTTATATAATTAGTATAGAATAGATTATAAAAAATTTGGTATGGTTTTTTGCCATGTTTTTCATTGTGCGCTATTTTTTAGATCTAAACAACATAGAAACATATAATGAAAGTTAACGGCCCTAAGAAAGGAAAAAGTTGTAAAATTTTTTATGTATTGTACAAAATTATTATTATTTTTTTATAATTTCTGAGCAAAAAAGATAACGTGCTTCGAACACTCTAAATATTAAAAGAAAACTTCGTTGATTTCAAGTAGAAATAAAATAAAAATATATATATCTAATATATATTTATTTTAAAATTAGGTAAAACTTGACATTTAAGAACAATTTAAAATAACGATTAAACCAAAAGATAAATAACAAAACATTGTATGTTTTAATTGAGGACGAGTCTGGTATTAAAAAAAAAATACATAATTCACAAAGTTCTTTTAATATGAAGAAAAAGCACGACTTGGTACCATATGCATACCTATTTCTAAGGGTATATGTATGAAAAATTGTGTTATAAAATTTTTGAATGAATATTCATTCATTCTGCTGAGTGTACCTACTTTATTCAACAATAACGCGTCATCAACCTAGGGCTGCGACATCGACATCGATGTTTGTAAAACATCGATGTTTTGAGACAACATCGAGTGTTTTGAACATCGATTTTTGCTACCCGATGTTTTATCGACATCGATTTTTTTGCTTCGATGTTTTTCTTCGATGTTCGGCTTATTTACAACCAACTTCCAGCAATTGACCAACTGGTTCGCCGATAAATCAATGCGTGTGTAGGGCCTTTGGGTCATCAAATTTGAAATTTGTACTTCCTTTTCAACTAGCCTTTGTTTTAAGACTTCTATCTCTTCCTTATATTTGCGCTTCCTAGGAGACTCTTCGCTAAGATGTCCCTCTGTTTGTGTCCCTTGGCTAACTACCCCAAACGTTGAATTTCCTAAAGAAGAACAAGTTGGATGTTCACGAAAAGGGTGTAGAAGAGCCTCCTCTTCTCCCATTCGGGTTGAAAAAACTACTGGGGTGACTTGTTCACTTATATCTGATTGGGACAAGCTTTCTAACACTAATCCTACTGTGGGTGCGCGCAAATTCATATCGGGGATAGCCCCTTTTGATAGTTTTCTGACATTCCGATATTTCGGAGAAAAATGCTTCTGGCACGCATACAGCTCCTTGGCCTTTGTGTTAACGTCCACTCCAAGGAGCCTCATCCATTCCAAGCCCCTATTAAATAATTAAAAGCAGTTAGTCTCTTGATCTTAATTATATATGTCTATAAAAATTTGTGAAATGAAAATAATAAAAATTATAAAAAATGCAAATAAATAAAATAAAATAAATAAAAAATATGAAATGAAATAAAAATATTGATATGCCAAATGCCAAACTCTAATGTCGAATTTCCACAAGGCATTGAAATGAAAAAAAATTGGAGGCATTTAAAAATGCCACGTGGAAATTAATTTAATTACTACTATTTCAACTTTGTCACTACAATTTTCGGCAATTAATGGCTAGTGGAAATTCAGCAAAAAGCTAAGAAATAAATTTGGATTTGAAAAAAAACCATTATTTAAATAAAAACAAATGATACTTTAAATAAAAATAATTACGATTTAAATAACCAAACTATGATTTAAATAAAAATGTGATGAGCGAAACAATATACCGATACCATTTGAAAAAAATTCTTTACCAACCTTTTCTTTTATAAATCGTTGTTGCCAACGTTCTGATACTCGTTAAAGTATTTTAATGTTTTTAACACTTTATTGAATACATTCTTAACCTTGGTAACATTAGTTTAGTTAACTATTATTAGTACATAATTATGTTTATTTTCTTACTAATTGTAGTTTGTTATGTAATTTTATGTTTAACGTCTTATGGCATTATTCATAAAAAATTAAGTTTCTTTAAAATATGTTTATAAATTGAAAAATACATGAAAACGTCAATTTATAAAACTCTTTAAACCTACTTTATTTTTTTGTGAATAAGGCCATAAGCCTAATTACTAGAAGGTAGCTGAAAACCTAAGTACATGCATACATGCATGTATATGAAAATACCGATTTTATACTTAAACACTGTAACTTAAAAAAAACTTAAATCTACGACTTATTACTAGTAAGCAGCTGAAAACCGAAGTACATAATAATATATTTTGCTGCTTTTACACTAAATTTAACTCCACGCATACTAATTAAAATTAATTAGATACAAAGAGGAATTAACAGCACGTACCATCTTAGCTATCTTATTAAAAGGTTAAAGCTATTAAAAATACAATAAAGGCGCGATGTTAAAATTATTAATTAAATATAGGTCCACGAAACCGGTTTGATGTGAAAATTTTCGATCATTTACTTCCCGTATCATTCTTGGTCAATAAGCCTGCCGATGATTAAAGTTTTCACAAATAAAAAAAACATTGAAACGCAATGTGTGCTACATTATAGCAGATTTGCTATACCATATACACACTACAATGAAATTATGGTCAAACTTTATTAACTGGATAAGCGATAAAACTGCAAGACTAGTCCGTCTGGCTGGATTTTAACATATCAAATGTACAAGTAAATGCGAGAGTACCCTATATCTCTTTAAAGTACAAAAACTAAATCCAGACGATGGCTATCGCTTATCCAGCATTCAGTTTAACTAATTTTAATAAAAAATAAAATTAAATAAACATCATACCTTGATACATCCGAGGCCAAAGGAAACTTTTAGAGGGAGCTTACTTCTGCACATCTGCATACACATCTTTTCGGCATTTTTTCTACAAATACGTACATATGTATGTAAATACACAATAATTAAAAAAGTGAACGCAATAATAAATTTACATATTGTACTTACTTGTTGGTTGTTTGTTGTTTGGCCAGAAATTTCCAAATCTCCACGAGGCCGATATTTGTAAAACCTCTTCTAGCACACGACTCATGTGTATTGCAAATACAAAATGTCTAAATCTTATTTAAAAAGAAAGTCAATATTTCGCTAATGCAAGATTTACATATATATTATTTCACAAAACTCAATATTTTACGAAAACTTCGAAAATTTTCTGGAAAAAACACTATGCGCGCACAAATTTGCATAATTATTTGATATTCAGCTACAACCCAGAGTTGCATTTGCTGCTTCTGTAAATATTTTAGGAAGTGTTCCAAAATTCGCTCCGAGCGCGTTCACTGTTGATCTATTGATTTAAATAGTTGTTTGTCAAGCATTTATTACTTTAGTTTGATCGGAGTTAAAATATTCTTCAGTAATAAATCATATTATATCAAAACATAAGCTTATAATAGAAATTATTTACTCTTTATATGCATAATATTTTACACCATGTACCAAAACTCGCCCTAAGCGCGTTCACTATTGAAGTTTTGATTTGAATATTGTTTGTCAAGCATTCAGTAGTGAAGTTTGATCAGAATTTATATATTCTTCAGTAATTAATCATCCTACATTAAAATATAAACGTAAAATATGGGAGAAAGTTAGAAATTATTTAGTCTTAATAAGCATAATATTTTTTTCGTGTTCCAAAACTCGCTCCGAGTGCGTCCATTTGATTTAATTAATTGTTTGACAAGCATTCAGTACTATAGTTTGATCGGAGTATATATATTTTTCAGTAATTGATTACTTTGTATTAAAATATAAACCAATAGTAGGGTAGAAATTGTGAAATTATTTAGTTTTACAGTGCATAGTCTGCCAGAGACAATTGAAGAAAACTGCAACTACTCGTGAAAACATACATTTAAAGCAATGTAGATGAAAGTAATAACTATTGTTATTAAAATTACCAATATATAAAACATTTTACACCAGGTATTTGAAAAAAAATCGGAATATATTTTTGCATATAACATAATTTCCATTGAACGCATAAAGTACATATTTAATTACAAATATTTTTAAGATCACTTCGAATTGTAAAAATAGCGCTAATTAGTTGTATTGAAGTATAAAACATTTTGTTACGGTCATATTTACTTATAAAGCGCACAACAATATTTCTCTCGCCATTTAACCGATGTTAAAATTTTTCACCACATTATTTTGCTGCACAGCACCCTGAATACGGCAAAACGGTTGCTCGCAACCCTCAAGTCCTTTATGGGGACCAAATTAACAGCCACAACAACAATAACCTTTCTACTGGTATACTGTGCTATTGTTTGCATGCAACTAAATAAAATTTGTTGCTCTTCTACTCTTTCTGTTGACGTTCGGATTGTGTACGTGTAAGAAGCCGATTGTGTACATGTGAAAGGCCGTTTCCCAGGAAAGTGTTTGGCTGGCACTGATCTAAAAAGACGATTGTTCTGCTTTCGTCTTCCCCTCGCCGCTTCCATGAAAATATGAAATATTTAGATTTTCGCATAACTTTGCATTGAATATGGCAATACTTGTACATTTTGTATGGAGAATAATATTAATTAATTTAAAATTCCGCATGTAACTATGTTCTCGACGATACATGTAACTTTCATCAAGATTAACCATAAAAATTGTGCTTCATTAACAGTTGGTACCAGCTGAACCCAAAAAAAACTATGTCCGCTAAAATGGGTTAAACACAAACTGGAATTGACATTTTTTACACGCATACATGCATACATTCATATACACATGTACAGTGGAGTACCACTAGCTTGGACATTGCATTGCTTGTACTTTGATGTGTTTGAATCTTTTTTGGTACTGAAGATTTGCTTACGGTTGAAAAATATTAAAAATCGTCCGTGCATATATGTAAATATATTTTTATAAACGATTTGAAGTATAGAAAATTTTAATATTAAAAAATAAATAAAATAATTTTTTTGCATATATATAAATTTTGTTCAAGGCACATTGACCCACCTGTACAAAAATTGTGGCGCGTCATGGACAACAATTTTACAATTTCGGACCGATAAATATGAAAACGAGCTAAGTTGCCACGTTACTTCTGTGAACTTCCGATAAAACCACATATTTTAGTGATTTTAGAAGTTTTGATTTTATTTAAAAAAATCTATGTATTTTCCTGCAGAAAACGTACATTTTAATTTAATGTTTATTAAAATTACATCTCAAAAAGTAGTTAATGATTGAAATATTGATATGGAACATAGAAATAGATTGTTTTGCCAAAAATTACCAAAAATTTCCAAAATTCGAGATAACTTATTTTACTGGATATGGAGAAATAGTTGCCACTTTTCACTTGGCTGGCCGAGATTTCTTCATTTTAAGATTTTAGAATTTTTGTGTTGGATTGAAAAAGTTGAGCTTGTAGGTGATGAATTTGCGCGGAGATGTGCTGCGGTTATTTTTATGAATGAATTTACTTGGCCTTGAGAAATACGCGCATGCGTTTATGAAAGAAATAGTTATTGTTGTATTTGAGTATGCGTGTAATTATGTGCATATGTACCCTGCAGTAAATCGCGCTAGTTCAAGACTAGCGCAGAACTAGCTCTTTAGGAGGCGGTACTGGTTCTCGATCTATCCCAACGCAATGCTTTCAACCCTTTTTACATGGCGATGTCCTACGAAGTGGAAATTGCCCCCCTCTGCAGAACTCTCGAACTAGTTCTAAACTGGTTCCATTTAGGACAGGGCAGTAAGTTTTTTTTATGGGAAAAAATTTTAAAACTCGATTATTGGATTATTCTTCTATTCTGAACTGGTTCCATTTTGGACAGATCTGCGATAATAAGTTTTTTATTTAAAAAATTTTGATTATTCGGTTTTTTGATATTTTTTGTTTTTTCTGTTCTTTTACAGATTGCATTTTATTAAATTTTTATTTATTTTTTTTTTATTTTGTTTATATTAAATTTGATCCCTTTCTCCTCAATTTTTAAGCGGCACTCAACAATTTAAATTTCTTAAATCTGAAAATCACAACTGCCTCCACCGCGATTTGAACTCGTGACCAACGATGTTAGAGTCGGAGGTCTTCCCGCTGAGCTACTTTCGTATTGTACGAAAAGTGAGAATTTGTGCATTTACTTCTCAACAGAGCGCAACTAACACACAGAGAGTTTCAACTGCCCGCATATGCAGCCGTTTTGCACTAGTTCTGAAATGTGTAGGGCGGAACTAGCGCTTTAAGAGACTGTCTCTAAATTTTACTGCAGGGTATGTATGCTGCCGTGAGTACATACATATATATGTATGCATGTAAAAACGTTATCAGCTAATGGAGTACGTATGTACATACGTATGCATGGGGAAATGCATTTTCATTTGACTCCAAAACTATTGGGGCATATTCGTAGACCAAATAAAGTCGACTCGTAAGTTAAAGTTAGTCCCAAATAAGAAGAAAGTTAGTTGCATCTTTTTTTTCACTGTAAAAACTGTAACTAACTTTAGTGTCGACTTTATTTTTACTATGAAAACAGTGAAAAATGATAATGCAACATATTTTCTCAATATAAATAACTTCGACAAAAACAACTTTGAAGTTAACACGTGCAGTGCAATCAATGCATTTGTACTTTTTTTGTGAATGTATCCATCTTTGAAGTGGATTTGTGAGAAAACTAAGGCAGCTAGAAAACTGCAGTTTGTTGAATTGAGAATAGCATACCTATTAACTACCATTAGAATCGTTAAAAATATAAAAACCGATTTTCTTCGCTTTTAATGCCGACATCAAATCACCAAACAGTGAGCATTTGCGTTTTTTAGTCAATGTGTCCATCTTCAAAGTGAATTTGGGGAAAAACTAAGGCAGCTAGAAAACTGCGGTTTGTTGCGTTGAAAATAGCGTAGCATCTACCATATGAATCGGTAAAAAAGTAAAAGTCGATTTTTTCAACCCAAATGCCGACGGCAAATCACCAACAAATTTGCCAATAGCATACTACATATTTGCATAACTTTCAAATTTTAGATTCACAAAATTGTATCTCTCGCATACATATGCATGTACACAATATGTATGTACATATTACATATTTCGACCTATGCATGCATTTATTTTAAATAATTAACCAATTTAAAGAACAATAAAAGCGTTGTAAAAACGTAAAAAACCATCAGCATTTCGCTGTCTAACAAGAAAACATGCATTTGCTTTGATGAGACAATTTCTGTTAAATTTATTTTGCCTCTGGCTGGGCTCTGTTAAAATTCAATTGTCTCTGGCTTGCCGCTCTTAAAATGCGCTTCGCCAGTTTTGTTGGTATTTGACAGTTTCCACGCTGATTCGTTCTTGGACCTTCTCTATAAATTTACGTTCTCTGCTTTGCTACTCAGCTAAGCAAAGACGGTTAACATCTGCATTCTCGATTCGTGGCCATGTATTTGTTAGAGCTCAACCGAAAACAAATGCAATCAAAGTGACAGACGTGAAAAGCATAGAAAGTATTGCAGCTCTTAGCAAATAAGTGCAGAAACATTGTAGCCCTGCTATGGTTTTATGTGATGCTGTTATTTGTATGTTTAAGTTAAGGCTTATCTCCAGGGAACGGATTTTTAGGATTTATAAAAAAGGCAAAATAAAGTAACGAAATAGGCTGGAAAAGGCAAAATAAAATAGCGAAAAAGGCAGGAAAAGGCACTAGGTGTTGCAAAAAAGGCAAAAAAGGCAAAACAAAATAGCGAAAAAGGCAGGAAAAGACAAAAAAAGGTATTGCAAAAAAAGCAAAATAAGGCACTAAAAAAAGACAGAAATACGAAGAACAATCAAAAAATATATTTTTTTTAGAAATGTTTATATTACAAGTAAAAAGAGAAAAACTATGAACTAGTTTCATTATATGAAAAATTTGTACTTTGAATCTTTGACTATTTTATCCTTTCGAGTTTCTAACTCATAAAACTTTAATCTGTATAGTTGTAGTAACATTGAACCACAAGATGCATTTTGAAGTTTTCTGGCAGCATTTTCATTCGATTTTCGCGAAGAAAAGCCTTGAATGTACTAAATGTGCGCTCGACGTAAGTTGATACAAGTGGAGCTCAATTTAAATATGGAACGTTTGAAACGTTCATATTATCAGGAATAAGGGCGTTTTCTTCGCCCTTTTC